GGTTAGCGTTGGTGACCGCCAAGCGGACAACTCGGGTTCGATTCCCGGTTGTGACCTGCTCGCCCCTTTCGGTTTTTACAGTGAAAGTGTAAGAAACCAGGAGGAGACAGTAGAAACAGATAAAAACCCCTTGGTCCCGGGCCGGATTTGAACTCACGGCTCCCGGGCCACAGTCAGATGCTCTAACTGAGTGAGCTAAAAGGTCTAGACCCATTGGCTGGGTCAGTTGGTAGCGCCTATAAACCCCCAACTGTTACACTACTCCCCCTTTTCTTTTCAAGATTCGTCCTCGAATCTTCCGAATTCGACATCCCTGGAGCGGCACTCTTTGCCAGAACTCACAGGGCCGGTGTGGGAACCAGTGTAAAAACCGAAAGGGGCGAGCAGGTCACAACCGGGAATCGAACCCGAGTTGTCCGCTTGGCGGTCACCAACGCTAACCACTACACTAAAAGGTCGCACGACCATTTAGCATGGTCAGTTAGCGGAGGATAAACCCCACTGTTACCTAGGATGAAAAGTCAACAACTTCCTCAGAAATATTCTTGCCACTAGAAGTGCATACCCGGAAGTGAACCTAGAAGTGTTGAATATTTTGATGTGCCAGTATGATTTTAATTTTAGATGAATGATATTTGAACCTGGATAACCTTGGAAATATAAAATTTTGTTACATTTGATATAATGGTAGTATGTGCAGTTTAGTAATACCAAGGAGGTTTAAAAAGATGGTTTACTGCAATGTGTCGCCTTCAGCTCCCAGGAAGAAAAGACCTGGTCATTGACCCAGACCTGATGACACCTTTGGATAGAATAGCAGGTGCTTCACTTCTCAAGGTACGTAGGTTAGAGGATAGCCATGGAAACTCAGGAATTCACTTCAGAATCTATGAATTTCTATGTACAAACTGGCCTCCATAGCTAGCCAGAGTGCCATCTGTTTTTTAATGGGGCTCTCTCTGGGTAGCACCCACGCTATTCAGAAGCCTACTCAGAGCCACAATGTTGATTTAACTATAACCTTACATTTTGTATATCGTATATATAATTTATAATAATGTCATTCATCTACTAGTAAAGTAAAACTTTTGTTATATCCTCTGATGCACAGCAACATGGTGTGGACAAGATATTCAAACTGGAACGAACAAAAATACATGGCGGGTGTGATCAGTAAGTGGACTTTAATGCATTGCTTTTTTCTTCATTGAAATGTTTAGAGAAATAAAATTTTTCTACAGAGTTTTTGAATTTCATTGGAGATTTGGAGGTTGTTTTTCCCACTGTGTACACTTGTGAATGTCCTGCTTGTTTGAAGCTTTCTTAGCGAAGGAATGTGTAACATCTATGACCTTTTGAAATGCCTTGACAAGTTTATTTCATTATCCCAACAGGCTGGTTTACCTGGTTAGGTCAAAGTTAACCACCACAAAGTTGATAGCAGGTGAGGTTTTATGTTATTACAGTTACTGTAATGCTTCAATTATGGCAACATAATCTGTATCAGTGCCCTTTGGAGTTATGCACTTTGGAGGCTTTGGAGGCAAGCTTTGGAGGCAAGCAGTGCAGCTGCAGCTGGTTATATTACACCAAACAGCATCGTATTCTGGCACATCCAACTGCAAGGATTGTTAAAAGCTATGTAATGAGGATCCCTCTAATAGAACCATGCAGTCCCAGTGATGATTGCCAGGTGATGCTTTAGACTGAGTTTAGCACTATTATTCTTTCTTTTACATATCAGTACTACATGTAGCACCAAATGCACTTCTTGACAACAATTACAACTAAGGTGTTGTTACTGTTTGTTCCACAGATCAGATTACGGCAGACATAAGAGATGCTAGGAAAAGGAAGTACAAGATTATTATGACACCAAGAAGAGTAAGTGTAACAACATGAAAGTTCATCTTTATTGGTAGCAAGGAGGTTCTCTTTTTTAACCTCCTTGTTGGTAGCTTACATAATACAAAACTAAAACTTTGTTCCAAGACAGTAAAGAAATAAACAATTAACTTTTGATTGTCCTACTACAGTTTCCAGGAAGTTTTTATGGCATGCGATGTTCATGAACCATATGTTATTTCCAACCACAGCTTCAAGTGTGCGACATGGTTTTGGAACATGAAGGAGTATTTGGATGTGAGTACATTCCACTAGATCTAGTGAGGGAAAATTGTGCGCAGGTTGCATTACCTGTCACTGTCTGTAAAAAGGTTTAACTACAAGATACCCGTAACAACTATTATGCAATAATGGTGACCTACATAGCAAGACTACTATTGATCAATTGTAGTGTCTGAAAAAAGGGTAGGTACCTGTACTGTACCAGTCCAAAACCTGTATGTCCATTTCACTTTGTAATGGTTGATTTGTTGTCTGTAGGCTGTCAGCTGTAAATTTTACTTAAGAACAAGAAATCTAGATATCATGTACTAGTATGTCATTAATTTCTGTGGACCTTTTCAGTGGTTAGTATAGAAGAGCTCCATCTTGACCTGATACCTCTGGACAGAGACCTTCTATCCATGGAGCTACCACAGTTTTTCAGGGACTATTTCTTGGTCAGTATGTTGCTGTATGAAAATTTTCCATAGCCTTAAGTTTTATAGGCAAAAAGCAATAAGCAAAAATATCAAGTTGGGCCAGATGTCATGTGAGGAAGATTATTGAGTAAGAAAGCATTCATATCCTTAAAAGTATTTGTTTATTGTCATTCTCAAATACACAAAGATTGGACAGGTGCTGATGAAAGGGTTCATGCTGCAGATCATTTACATTCTGCTAGATGGCATTTTTGAGCCACTGAATGTGATCTAAGTTGATGTTGTGATTGTTACACCAGTATCTTTTTCTATTCCTTTGCAGCATGGTGACCAGACTTGGCTGGCCAGTATTGCCAAGTCCCTAGTCAACATTCAGTCCCTGTTTGGACCCATTCCTAATATATATGGCCAAGGAAGATGTGCAAAGGTAGGGAAACAATGTGTGTGATATGTGAATCTACAACCAAACCTCTGCCATCAACACCTCTAAATAATGTTACTGATTCCTTCTGATATTCTCTTATTTGCCCCTTTTTCCAGTTGACTTGAGAGTTGAAAATTAAAGTATCTAAACTCCCTGATCAGATGCTGTTTTCTCCCTGCTGACAGATGGTGGCTGACATGGTGGATATGATGATGTCTGAGCTGGGAGAGAGACAGTCTCCCATTGGCTGTGAGATTGGACATCTCTTCCTCATAGACAGAGGTTAGGAGAAACTTTTTTTTTCAACAAGTTCAGCACCAAGGACAGGTCCTATTCATTGGCCATTGAGTGATGGGAGAGAAGGCACAAGCCCGTAATATCCACAAGAATTTTGCCAAGTACACCAGGTAATCCATACTCTTCTCGATAAGTGTGTTCTGGTCATGCAGAGGTTTGATGCCTTGGGCTCTCCCATACAAAAGGACGGAAGGCTCAGCATTGTCACCGAATCAAATGTCAGTCTATTTGGAAACTTTGCTATGAAAAAAGGGACTGTAATTTCTTAGGCAAGTCTAACAAAGCAGTCCAGTTTGAACACACTCAGCTGTGAGGGAAGTTTAATATTCATGATTAGAAATAAAAACCAAGTAGAAAATGATTAAAATGAATAATTAACGATGGATGATGCGCTGAAGCTAGAATAGCCTTCCCTTTGATGTGCATCCCCCATTAACAGTGTCTGCCGTTCTGAAGTCAGTTCATCCTGACATAATCCCAGCTACTCACCAGTCCCCATTACATGTCGGCACCCCAGGTCTACTCCTCGTCATTACCACAGTGTGGCTTAACGTCTCGTCTGGATTCAATGGGCCGTATTGATTGTCCTAATTGCCATTGTGAATTTCACTCTGAAACTGTCCATCTCTCGACTCCCGCCTTTTGTTGCCTGTAACCAGGCTTCCGTTGTGACCTAGTTTGTATTGTTACTTCATCCTTTCCTCTCCATCATCCATTCATAATGCCACTTAACTTCTTCCATGGGGATCAGTAGTGCTTTTATTTATTCCTTTATTGGTTTTGCCTGCAGCAAAACATACAGCCAAATGCTGCCTGTATGGACCATGGATATGGCAAATGGCTTACCTTGGTGAAAAGGATAGAAAAATGCTGAATAGTAACTAGTTAAGACAGAGTCAGTGAAAAATTCACAACCACTCTAAATGCTTCACAGAAGTGTAAAATCTTTAATCTCATACGCCAAAAAAACATTTACTCAGTCAAGCAACTGGGTATTAAGCAACTTTTTTTTTCCTTTTGGACTTCCAAAAAATTTGTCTTCACTTATTTGCATATCAATCAATAGTTCATGCTTATAAACCTGCCTTTCTCCTGCAAGTCTCTAGTGTCCCTAAAGGATACTACCTGAAATGTTTCCAAAATCATATCCAGTTGCTTGAGTAACTGTTTTTGGCATATGTTATTACCTGGATGTCTAAACTTTTAATGAGTAAATAAGGACATTCATTGTAGCTTCCTTACACTACATGTAAAGTACACATTGGAAATACCATAACATTTGTGATGCTATAATAAGTACATTTGTACTAGTACAGGTTTGACTTCTTCCTGCTTTTCAGTGCATGTAGTGTTAAATATGTAAGGACAGATTAATTTTGCTATTTATTGTAAGGTTTGTCAATACATTTTTGTTCTGTCATAGATAGATCAATACTTTGAGGTCAATGCCCTGTTCTATGCCCTGGATGGGCAGGGTGTCAAAAGAAGGTTGAATGTGGGGTAAATATTAATGATGTCACAAGTCTCCAGACAATATAGTAATCTTCTTGTAAGTGATGACAGAGGTGCAAAATGTCAGCAACAAACAATTTCCCTCCCTGGTTTCATTTCTGAGAAATTGAATCATGGCATTTTCAGTGTTCAGTAGAACAGGTGACAATGTCAACACGGGCACGTAACGTTACATGTAACCATTCAGTAAATTTTAAGTTATGGATTAGAAGGCCACAACAATTTAGTTTCATGGCTCTTTGATATTTGCAGGAAATTAACGGAGTGTGCAGGTGAAATGAAACTGGAACAGGTTTCCTGTGATAGACCTAAATGCTACCACAGGAGCCACAAAGTAAACAACCCAGAATGGGTAACTTTTAGAACAGTTTTTATTGCCTTGACGAATGGAGGAAAATGGAACAGCTATTAGTAGGAAGACTTTCTTCAACTGTTGGTGCCAAATTATGAACATTTTGGGTACATTCCTATCCTGAATCATGCATGTGATCTTTTCTGTTTTTTTTTCTAAATCAGTATAACTGATATCTTCAAACCAATAAATCAAATTAGTGTGGCCTAATGGAGTACATGCAGTTTTTATTTGCAGTAGTCTGGCAAGCCAGTGGCCTTTTGCAAAGCCCTTCTAAATGGTATATTCTCACCCAGTTACAGGACACATAGGTCAGTGACTGGTTTAAAAGGGGGAGGAGCTCTACTGGAGCATTTTAAGGCCTTGATCCAGCTACCGTAACAGCTTTCTACCAGTAGCTCCTTCTTGAATTACCGTGATAATGTATGGGTGCCCTTGGCATGACTTTCTCACTCTTGATCTGTTCTGTACGTATTTGGTGAGACTGCACGAAGTCAAAATATATCATTTAGTATTCTCACAGTCTAACAAAGTGCTAGTCATTACTGGAATGAAATGGATAATTAGGTTCTTCCAGCTTTACAACTAGAACACCAGATCAAAGGAGGATTGGGAGAGATGGAAGGAAAGAATCAAGAACTGCATGCCTATAGCTTGTCTGAGCATCAAGCTCATCGAAATGAGAGCTCTATGTGTATATGCGTGTGAAATATGTGATAACATTTTTAGTGTGCATACATATTATATGTGTGTATATACATGTTAATGCTATTCCTTATCATATGAATCACTTAAAACACACCAAAGAAAGATAATTTGTGTCTAAAGTCAGTTGTATTATATTAATGTATGTAACAGCAGTTAATAGAAGTCTATCCCAGTTCAAAGTGTTGTGCATGTTTGACACAGTGCCGCCTGATGTAGCCCTGGTTATTAGGAAAGCGATTCGAATGTCTCTCCTCTAGAGCGCAGCATGCCACTCTGAATATATCATGGGATATTGTGGAGCGTTCTCAATCTCATTCACAACTAAGGTCATGATCGCCCCACTGGCCTTTGCCCTCAGGATGGTCTGACCCTCTCTCGAACCGGTGCTTTCGCTAAGAGGAAATGCGCTGTGTTGCATTCTTCATGTACGTGAAATGCCTTGTTCTTTTCTCGTCCATACATTACAAAGTACAAAAAATTTTTTTCCTTAAGAGTGATTCAGACCAATTGAAATGGAACATGTTAAGAAAAACCCAAATCCCCCAATTCCTCCCCATTGAACCATATATTTTAGGATTTAGTGTGAAGTTTAGTAATTTCTGTGGCTTTATCATTTTTTTAGGGTTAGGGAAGCTACAGTATAGCCAATACCTTTACTTAGGTATAGCACTTAAAAAAATAACGTAATTATTTTCATTTAGTAGTGTAGACTTTTGATGTCAAATAAACATTATGGAATTTGTCTCCTTTTGTTGTAGGATTTCCCCTCCCCATGTACGATGCCCCTCTTTATACGTGTAAAATTGCTCCTGATGCATTTTTGTTGTTGCAGATGTAGACTATGTGACGCCGCTGTGCACCCAGGTCACATACGAGGGTCTTTTGGACGACATCTTCGGCATCAAAAGTGGTAGGCCCTCCAATAACTTTATTAAAAGCATTTTCATGTAGAATCCCAACTCCTCAGGGAATCCACTTCAAATCTTCTATTCCTGGGTACATGGAAGACTCTTTCAAATTTTCGCCGCATATGATTATGTTTCCCTGTGCGAGGATAATGCAGGATAAGTGTATTGGGTTTGTCTGGGGAAATCATTATCACAGACGAGGATGTTTTCCCAGATGGAGTATTTCATCAGGAGTCCTGCTTGAACTGTGTAACATCAAAGAGGAATTACCAGCCCCACTGCCAGAGGATCAGCACTAAATAAGTCATTGTTTTGATATATGTTCTAATGATCCAGACAGTCCCTCTTTCATGAAAAATCAATAAAGTACATTGCAGAAGGCTGTGCTATAAGTGGATCTCTCTCTATAGAAACTATATAATATTATGTTACTAACAGTTACAATGCATCTTTGCAATCTTTGTTTGGATAAATACCTGAAGTGTAATGATTGTCTTCTGAGGGTGATAGATGAACAATATGTTTCATGTTGTATACTACGGGGAATAAAAAGTTATTATTTTATGCATGTTTTCTCAAGAGGTATAAAGCAGTGAGTACTGTTTAATTGAAATGGGGGTGGACAAATTAAAGTTTTGTTTTTCTCTAAGATTTAAAAGAGTTATAAAAATCACAATTGCCTATGAAGTTTGTGTGGAATTGTTTTCAAGTGAGGGTGACATTCTAGTGTTACCACCAACACTGTTGTACATGGTACATGTAAATGTTGGGATTGAATGTAAAATAAAACTGTTCACAAATTTAGGAAGTCTTCGGAATCCTTCTTTTTCAGGTTCAGTTGAATTTGGACCAGACGTCACAGGAACCGACAAGAGCATCAAGATTATGCTGTCAGGAGAAGATGAGGTACAGATTTAAATATAAAAATACTTCAATCTGCAGTTCCACAGAAAGCAGCTAGGGACGTTTGAGCCCAAATATCACCACTTATTCCTGAGCACATGGGCTGTCTATGAACAAAAATCATGACTATAGCATGTCTGGCACATGAGCTTTGCTGCATTAGTAATAATGGTTTTTATTGTCCAAACAGTACCCGTGCAGTTGCAGCCTTTAACGGCTGAATTGATGCAGGGTATCACATAATAATCAATATACATAATCAATACAAATCACAACAAACAAGTAATACACATGATAACACATATGTTTGCTCCACAATTTTTTGTGGAACTGTCGCAAGGGTCTGTGCGGCTGCCATTCGGCGCCACAAGGTGACCTCAATACGACTTTCCCCAACCGAAGTTAGGTACCCATTCACACCTGGGTGGAGTGAGGAAATTCGTGTTAAGTGCCTTTCCCAAGGGCACAACGTCGGGCGCATGTCCAGACATGTACCGGGTACGACTCGGGTTAGAACCCGGGTCTCCCGGTTCACAGTCGAATGATCTACCACTACGCCACCCGACGCCACCATTACAGAGTTAAGCAGCTAGGGGTCTAAAATGCTTTCATTTCTCTGATAGGTTTACATACCAAATTGAATGTTCATAAGCCTTGTAAGTTCTTAGTTTCGTAAGCCTTCTGTTGTACCACCACTAACACTGTTACATACAAACCCTACCAAGAACATAATGGTATTGGCAAAAGTAATGGCTCAATAATACAATATGGTACAGAACATGCTTCTTTTATTTGTAACAAGGATGCAGGGTTTGAAGTCAGTTGGCCAAAATACATCAGAATATAATAAATGGATGAAACATGAAGTCATACTTAAGACCTTGGTCACACCAACAGATGTAAGTTGTAGTCAGACTGCTACAGTCATTTTTCTTTTGATTTGCCCCTATAGTCAAGAAGTAAATGATATTTTCCTTTTCTTAATCATGGTATTGATATTAATTATGCAATAAATTTTGCTGATACTGACAATTTGTTAAAAGGGCTATCTTCGATCTGTTTTTTTTAAGAGTCCCATTATAGCAGAAAGCTTTTTGTAGACTGTGCTAATTGTATTATTTACTTAGTACAAATGTGCTATAAGTTTCTATAATCGAGTTGCCCATGTGAGAATAGGATGTTTGCTAGTCTTAAAAGTGACATGGAACCATACAAATGTATTTTGCTAATGCCAAACAATTTAGTTTCTTGGTTCTTGGAATTGGCACTTCATCTGCTCAAAGATTTGTTTAAAAAAATCACATGACTTTTATTGTAGTACCATTTTTGATATGAACCAATTGTTGTTACAATTGGTCCATTTATCAATGCATCAAAAGTCAAAAAGTTGTTATTAACCAGCCTCATGGTAATATTGTAACTCCTGTTATCATGGTATTAATAATTTGAGTTTATTATATGGGATACTTTTTTATTCCTCTCTTCAGATAGCCCAGCTGCTTTATTACCTGCGTGCAAAAATCTGAGAACCAAGAAATTGATTAGGGTGTCCTGAAGTGGAAGTCCAAATGCATTTTGCTGATGGAAGGTTCTTTTGCTGGTGTCTAATTTGATAATATTGTGAAAACACAGCACACAGGCAATACCTACTGTGCCTGTGAGAAATCTGGATTTTTTGTCAAAGTTGCAAATATAATATATGTATTTATTACAAAAATCATGTAGTCACTTATAAACCATTCAGTACTTCAGTGGTCAGTGGTCTAAGGACCAGCAGGTTGTGAGTGTGAATCCTGTTGTAGTTACTTCAACAGGCAGGCTACTAGAAAAAGTCACAGGTCTTATGATGGGATGTTAAGCTGTGGTCCACAGATCTCTTTCATTTTTCAAAGTGTTACATCTCTAAGGCAACACTAAGTTGATTTTTGTTTTTTTTATCTTAGGTTGCTACAATGGTGTTTAAGATGTTAATAGAAAACATACGTTGCCATAGCAAGTTTTATGTTACATCCTCCAGGCTAGAAGCTGTTATGATTATGTTAACTTCCCACAGGGAAACCATCAAAGGTTTCACTAATAATGTCCTGTAGTTCTCCAATGAAATTATCATGTAGTATAAATTCAACCACATTGCTGACATATGTATGCTAACGTTTTTTTTTGTTTTTTTGTTTTTGTTTTTTTTATTCCAACATGTAATCACCAGACGTGGTGGGGACACACTCAAGTTTTTTCAACTTATATTAATGCCGCCACCAACACAGGGGACAAATACATGACAGGACAATACTCATTTACACCTGAGCTAAGTGAGGAAAGTCGTGTAAAGTGCCTTTCCCAAGGGCACAAGATCGGTGGCATGTCAGGACTCGAACCCGGGACTCTTAGTTCTGAGTCGCGCACTCTACCGCTACGCCACACGACCCCACTGCTATGCTAACGTTACATATTGGTCTAAGGATTCAAACTAAAACATGTAGTATGAAAACAGTTTTGAGAGGTAGTGAGAAGGCAAGTTAAGTGCTGGACAGAAGAGTGGAAAGCAGTGGTGGCCTGCATTGTCGACAGATGATGATGAATTTTCAATAGTCAACAGTGAACATGAAATTATTGAGCCCATCGCATGATAAAACCTATCTGCATAACAATAAACTTTGAAAGGTCCTCTTGAAACATAAGTCCAAACTATTGTATTGATCCATGTTTTTTCCTTCAGGTGTTCAGAGCTATCCGAGACCGCCACTTCTCCAATGTGTTTGGGTTCCTCAGTGCCAAGGCCAAGGAGCTTCAGACCAGCTACGATGTGAGTCTATGGCTGCATACTTAAAACATCAAGTTCAGGTACAGATACCTGTACAAAGGTTTAGGTACAGGTGTAGACCTGTACCTGTGCAAACACACTTGTACTTGAACAATGTGATGATGGAAATATGAATTCAAAACAGTTATTAGAATATACATGCATAATGTAGACTTCAGGTATCTTATGCAGAGAACCCAATGCATGCTTTCAGTAAGATCTCAAATAAAAGATGTTTCAGGCTCTACGAGTCAGTCTTTTGGGTCTCTGCTATAATGTGCTTTTTCTCTGATAGCATATCAGTTCTTGTGAGCTGCTTCTTGGTTTCTTGTGAGCTGCTTCTGTAGATGATCCACAAGAAACCAAGGACTGAGATCTGACGTTACATCTGAAAAATCACATTATTAGCCTCAAAAGCCTGCCTGGTGAAGTCTGCTCAGGAGGCTAGTACTTCAGAAGGAGCTGATAATTGGGAAGCGTGAGTCGTGACGACCACCTGTTGTTCTGATTGATCTCCATCAGTTTGCTTCCAACCGACATCAGGGATTGGACTTGCTATTTATAGATGTCAAAGCAAAGCTGGCGTGTTGTTCATTACTGCTGTCCCCCAGCACCTGTCCCACTTAATTGCTGCCATTTATATAAACCCAAGATAGCAGACCTGCTTCCTAATCTCATTAAACTACATGATTGGCATTTACTGCTGCACCTGCTTGTACTGTCATAAGAGGTTTGGGTAGCCTTTTGGTCTGGAGAAGAAAATTGTTCATCCTCCCAGCCGGATGCCATCTGCCTTTGCATTTCTTTTCTGATTCTCAGCTAGCAATATCATTACTTTCTTTTGCTGTAAAATGACACGAAATATCATAATCTTTCAGTAAATACCAAAGCAGCTTTCTAGCTGTGCTACATCTTTTTTTCACAGTATCTAACATAAGATGTATGGGTGGCTAAAACAACAACAACAACAACAACAACAACAACATCTTTGCATCTAAGGGGGATACATGAAAAGGACAAATATAGGTGTTAATAAGTTAACGATAGTCATATCTCTCATAATTCAGTTGCTTAGCATGATAGGTCCATACTCTTATTTATAGGACAAAGTTTGCCAATAGGAGGGTTTGTCAAGAAATTGTATGCAATGGAAATGATTGTATTCAACCGTTGTTGACTCACAATCCTGCATTAATTTTGTGCACATACAAGTAACGGCTTTTTGAAATGGGAAAATAAGTATCTCAATCCCAGATGCAGAAAGAATCTCTTTATATGCCAAAAGATCAGTACAGAACCCCTTGTAGGTTGGAGGTTTGAATATTCAACTGTTCTCTCTTGCAGAAACGTCATAACTTGAAGTCGGTTCAGGACATGAAGCAGTTTGTCTCAGAGGAGCTCAGTAACCTCAAAAAGCAGCACAAGGCTCTGACTTTACGTGAGTAGAATCTACAGCACACATAGTTCTCAAATATCTGAGCTTTAGGTGTCTGAATTGATAAGTACTAAAATGTGAGAACATAATCTGAAAGTTTATGCATTGACATTTGAAGACCCCAAGCATTGAATCTCAAGATAGTTAACATACATGGAACGTCTGTCTTTTCTGGCACGCCTAGTGGAAGATCTAGATTAGCTCTTCAGTACTTGTGAGGTAATCTGGTTTGAGATACCTTTCCCCTACAGTGTTGTTACCCCCCTCCCCCACAGCTGCAAAGAAGGTGTCAGTTTCTGAATATGACCCTTTAGGTCGAAAAACTGTTGCGGTATTAAATTTCTCTGGCTCAGATTTTGGACCCGTGCCAGATTTGTAGATTGCACAGACCAGTGGAAGTCTGTGGTGTTTTGTGCAACTTGATCGAAGCAATAACTCGTCAGTCCCGTGACAGGTAACAATGTGTCACTGCTATGCCTCTCCCCTCACCTCCATGAAACTGTGATAAGGTACCTGTCATTGTCTTTTTTGCTGTGTATTTGCAGTGGCTTGCTTTTATAGCACTGATAGCATGGCCAGTATGATGAATTCAGGGCAAATGTTGATAGCCAGGAAATTGTTAAGATTTATATATAGGTTACTCGTTCATATAGAGAAACGAGAAAAATATTGAGAAATATTGTATATTGAGAAAAAGTAATTCCTTTCAATTTTTTAGTCATTTTATTTTAAAAATGATGTAAGCAGTTGATGTAAACTTGTTGTTAAATGTCTGTGGAATAATATTGTTTGACACTTTGTTTTGATTTCAGACATTGGAGCCTGTGAAACCATAACAAAGAACAAGAGCAGAGGAGACTTTGAAGAACAAATGAGAACAGAACATGGTCTGCCAGCCCAGTTGTTATGATTTTAGTTCACATTTGCCTTACATTAGACCAAACTCTTCACAGCATTTTGATATTTGAGTAACCCCCTACCAGTTTTTCTAGAAATTTTTCCTTCTACCCACGGTGATATTGGTAATGGACTGCCCCTGAGCCGGGGATATGTGATTGATCCGTTGTCTGGTGGGACTTCTGCCAGAGGAAATTGGTTTTTCATTGATAATGTCAGGGTTGCCATGTTGCACCAGAAAATTAATTGTGCATGCAGAGTGTGTGGAGGGCCCCAGGTACAGCACGATATTGCACTGCATAAAACTGTTATGTGAAGAACACTGTAGAGAACAAGTATATTAGCCAGTGGTATGACTACATGTTTTGTTTTTTATCTACGGTAAAGGCAATGTTGATCAGATTATATCTTGTTAGTATATCATTCAAACACTGAAATTTTCATGGAGTGGGCCAATGATGAAATAAAAATAAAAACAAGCAAGAAAAAGAAAAGGCATTCTGTGATAGACTTAAATGCTATGGTAACATATGAACCACAAAGTCAACATGTGGCCTGGTAGAAAACCCACATAATGTTATCATCTGTGATCTGAATTACATTTCTAGCAGATACATAGAGCCACGTCGAGACTTATTCTCATGAAAATATTTCTCATAAACACATTACACTGCACTGATACAATGTGCTAATTTTATGATCTACATACATGTTCATGTTGCAGGTTTATTGGAGGGTGTTGATGTTAGAGAGTGCATCAACTTTATTGAAGAGTCCATCAACAGACAGGTAGTTCATGATTGTGGCCAAGTGTTCTTGAATTATGATAACCACTTATTAATAAACGAAAGGTCAGCAATACATGGTGCCTTCTCTTCTAGGTCTTAAAGTACATGTTTTTGTCTGCTTCCTGCAAACTATTACATTGCATGTATGAGTGTAATTTGTATGAGTGCATGTATTTTGTGATACAATCTTAAGGCTTCTGAAAATTTGTTGCAGAAGGGTATTTTGAGCCATTTTTATGCCACCAATGAGTTTATCTATTTTTTTTTTAAATTTACATGTCATTGAACTGAAGTTGCTTCTTTTGGGGAAACATGTAGTTGTTTTCATATCTGATTTTCTTCAAAGTTGGACCTATTTGTTTACCTATATTAGATTTCTTCAATATGTACATTGTATTGTGCATGCACAATGTGGAGTGTATTGCTAAAATTGTTTGGCAATTGGACTAAGCTGTATTTTTTTTGTAGGTTGTTGCTGCTTTTCCCATTTCTTATTTCTTATGGTAGGGAGGAAGACTTGACTTATATCAGGCAAATGTACAATCAATGTCCATTGTATTTCTGTTTTCCAATGACAGCACAGTCGCACAGAGGTCCTAAGACTGCTGTGCATGCTCTCATCCACACAAGGAGGTAAGTGATCCAGACTTCTTCTCCATGGCTCATATCGCTAAACTAGAGTAACCTCTGTGTTGTCTATTTATCATAGGTTTTTATTAGCTTCTTTCAAAAAACGCTAAAACAACACTTCATCACAATGTCCATTTTCTCTTGATCATTGACCAGTATATTGTTGATGATGAATGGGGTGTTGGAAAAACTGCTGATGGCTTCAAGTGCTCAGGCAGCAAGAAAAATGACCATGTTACTGAAACAGATGTTAATTTGCACCAATCCTCCAAACTAGGGCACGGCCACCTCATTTCCTTTATACTTCGTGTTGTGATTGGATTAGATATTGATTTACTGAAGTCGGCTATTTTTGATCGTTGCAGGTCTGCCGTCCAAGGACTACAAATCTTTGAAAACCCAGTTTCTGCAGGTCAGAGGTCATGCCATGAATCACACCCCGTTCTGTTGTACCGAATCCCAAGTGTACCATAGTTTTACATCCAGTTGGCAAGGTGTTAGCTTAGGCCACACCAATTTAATTTGTTGGTTCTCGGATTTTTTCAGAAAAAATATGAAGCGACAGGGAGAAAAAAATAAAAATAAAAACAGGTCTAGGCATCCTATTATAGCCTTAAATGCTACGGAATGAGCCATGAAGTCAACACAGGCTGGGTTAAAATTCAAACATTGAATTTTGAACTTTTAACCAAACCACTGCAATGATAGATGGGAAAACTGTAACTATAGTAGGAAGAAAAGGACTTTCCTCAACTGTTGGGGGCAAAACATGAGCATTTTTCAGTTGATTCAGGACCAGAATCAAATTTTTTTTTTTGCAAATCAGAAAAAAACGAAGAGGCGAATCCGAGAACCAACAAATTAAATTGGTGTGGCCTTATGAAGGAGAAAAATGTGATACTATTGAATTCATGTAGCTGTAACATCTCAAAATATGCTTGTCTTATCTGCACATGCAGTGTGTAATTTGTTCATTGTCACCACTTTTGCATGTGTGACTGGAGATGAATTTGATATTGTCACCAAAATATGTCTGATCTACATTTATCTCATTTTAGTTACCCGGTAGTATTGCATGTGTGTTACTGGCAGCAGTCTAATAGTAATATCTCAGTAATATGTATTACCCTATCCCCCACCAATATGACTGAAGCATTACTGCTTCTCAAAGTGTTTGAAAGCTTAGGGGACTTGTTGGCTTTACATTATAAATAACATGTATGAGTTGGGCCTCCTGAGAAAGCCCTAAAAGCCTGGGACCAGATACCAAGGTGTTAGATAGAATGTGTAACTAAGTAAGATGAGGCAGAGAGCCAACACGTTCAACCAATGTTTACTTCAATCATACAAACTTGGCTACTTCTGTGCATGCAACCAATTTCATCCAAGTAATTTTTACTCCTTTTGTGAATTGTTGCTCATACTGAAGGAAAGATGTCCTATCCCTCACACCCACCCACACTCTCACTAGACTTGGCATCTACGTCAGTTCACTTAGCTACTAAGATCATGTCACTCATGCCAGAAATATAATAACCTTCTGCTTGCCGAGGTTAGCTTTTGTACCAAACTTGCACATGTTACAGGGTTATAGTTAGTAAGTAGAGAGAATATTGAGAATACAATTTTGACACTACCACAGAGTTACGGGACAGAACATCTCCTCACGCTGCACAACCTGAAGAAACTGGGCCTGTTTGTGGAGCAGCAGGCACCTGATGCAACAGCCAACAAACTGACGGACAAAATGGCTGCCAAGCTGACAGACGGCATGGCATCCTTACAGCTCCAGCTCCAGCTGCCCAAGAAGAGCCAGTTCCGAGCTGTCAGCAGGAAGCTGAATCTGGTAAGAGCTGTGGTACAATGTAACTGTAAATTTTGAAATTTTGAATTTACAACTGTCATGGTAGATACAATCACTATATAGAAAAGGATTTCACCATGTTATTTGTATTATAAGCAAAGAAAAATAAGAACATTACCAGTGTTGTGTATCAGTACATAGTATTTCCAAATATTTCTGCCTCATCATGAATGCTGTCCAGTTATGAGAAATATGTGGTTCAAGTTCGCCAAGGGAATCATGAATTTTTTTTTGCTTTGTTCAGCAGTACGTATGCTCAAGTGGAATATGTAGCAGTTATATGATGTCCTTTCATTTTTTTTCTCCTTACAGATACCAAAATCTGCAGAGAACTTTGAGCTAAGGAACCCCAATGACATGGCGTATGTCTTCAGTGGAGCATATGCCCCTCTTAGCTGCAAACTTATTGAACAGGTAATAAGATTCCCAACTTCTAATATGAATGTTCTTGTTGCTGTCTTGACAGTCAGACTAGTCACTGTCCCTGATGAGGAATTACAGTCACAAGTTTATGATTTTCCCAGATATTGAACCACATCCATACTGTTGTTGCTGTCCCTGGTGCTGAATGATAGTTGCACAAATACAACCATTTAGCTTTTGAATCAGATTCATGTTGTCATCCATGTCAAATTAACTTGCTGAATGCCATTCAAACAGACGTGATTCTACCTTGGACTGAATTGCATGTATATTTTTACATTGTTATCTCTGTTTATGTTGCTGAATCATACCAAGACCATATGATTTGGCTCTGATTCCTATTCGCATTGCCTTCACTGCCCCAGTGCTAAAATACATTCACACAGGATGTAAGTTGTTTCTGAATCCCATTCACACTTCAACTGCTACCCCTGGTGCTGCAAACATTCACACATCCAGTCCTGTCCCTGGTGCTGAACCACCATTATATCCACTTAGAATCTCAATGGTTCTGAATTACATTCTCACACAGAATGCTCTCTAATGCCGAATCATTCAATTTGTTATCACTGTGTCTTGTGCTGAATAGTATTCACACTATCTATCTACACAAAACCCTGACCCTCATTCTGATGAGGACATTATTACTCACATCTCATGTGTTTTCAATTAAGTATTCTCAATGCTAACTGCATACCAGTATTCACTTCTACACTTATCTTTGGGATATCAAGCGATATTCAGCAATCAGTGGTTGAATTTCATTGTCTCTGGTGATAGATCACAATCAACTGTACATTATACTATCAGAAATACCACATGATGTTGTATAATGAACACATCATTGTTTGCACACATTTTGTTCGCACATATTCACACTTTATTCAAGTACTAGTACCTTCATCCTCATTGCATTTTGCTCGAGTGTTCCCCTGGGACATGAACAAACCACATCTGTACATGGTATCAAGCATGGTCTTGACAAGAAATGTTTAAAAGTCAACGGCCTTAACCTTTGACCTCACACATGTGCAGTTCAAGCCCTGACCTGGTGTACAAATGTAGTCCAGTCAACAGCAACACATTAGACTCCCTGATACTCACCATGAATCCTAATGAAGTATGGTGATATCATTACCATTGGCAGTGACTTATTCAGCACTGACATTCTTATTCTTCAGAACAAAATTGCATTTATACTAATTTCATTGCTGAAGCAAAATAAACTTTGCATTGAATTTTTGATTCTCGAAAGGATCTTTACATTGAGTTATTTGTCTTCTGAACGACCTTTACATTTAGTAATTTGTTTTGAAATGACCTTTATGTTATATATTCTCATCATACCCTTTTGATTGAATTATTTGGCCTTTCTTTTTAGCAGCTGTCAGTAAATACTATTGTAGGTTGTGTGGAAATAGATGATGACTAACACTTGTTACCTCTGGCATTGTTTTTGCTGTGTTTGCTCATACGATTGTGGACCTGTTTCTGACATACCGGTAGTTGCTATGCATATGCATGTTTTTGATATGTGGGTAGAACTTGCAAACTTGAAGATGCAGTTTGATTTTGGGCCCCCTAGCAGCTTGTTTTGGAAACTTAAAAAAAGAAAAAAACTCAAGAAAGGTCGAATGGATTTTCAGGCCGTTCAGCATGTAGGTAGTTTAGATACAGATACAGATGCACATAATTAGATGCAGATGTAATTTTTATCTGTGATACAGGTGTTACAGCGGGAAGGTTGGACAGGTGTTGAGGACATAGCAAAACTCCTACCTGGAGACAACTTTGTTCATCTCAAAGCAAAATCAGCAAAGGGTAAGGAGAGGGCAACTGATTTGACACTCATAATTGGATACTTTTCATATCAAGATCTAAAAAATACACCAATGATACTAGTGAAAATGTCCCATAAACTGCATACAGAACAAAATGTAACAAAATTAATAAACAAAATCTAATTTACGTTTGTCTGTAATTGTCTGTAAGTAGAAATTAAAGCATTCTTTTGAAATCTCAATTTATATATTCACTAACTAAAGATATACATGTATTTGATATTTTTATTTGTTAGGAAAGGCAAGTGGATCTAATCCAGACTCTGACAAGATAGTGTTGGTGTACTTCCTTGGTGGCTGCAGTTACACTGAAGTGTCTGCACTCAGATTTCTAGGGAAGCAAAAAGGTAGGTTCCTAGAATTTGTGGGTATCTAATCTTGTAGATACCCTTTTAATCTCAGTTTGTCATCTACAGTCATTGTCTGTTGTTGCATCCGAGTTTGTCATCTTTGCTTGAAAATTGCTTCATTATATTTTGTGTGTAGATCTATGTAACGTGTCCCTGTGTTGACTTGAGTTTGCATAAACCTTTAACATGAAACAGCTCTCATAAGCCTTCTCTTTGTGTAACCATGGACAGCTATTACAATCCTTGAATTTGCAACAGCTTTGAACACTAAGCACTGAGCATTGAATGACTGGTACATAATTTGGTGTGGTGTGTAGTGGTTTGTGTATCACTGTCATTGTTGAACACAGCCTCAAAATGCCTAAATGATATGTTTGTGTTTTTGTGTTTGTATCCAGGATACAGATTCCTAGTCGCCACAACTGCACTTGTTAATGGAGGAAGACTGATTGAGTCTGTTTCAGGATGGAAATGACACTAAAACTGACTCTCCAAGGGCACATTCCTCTGTATACATGTATCAGAAATTACAGTGAAGCATTCTTTTGTGTATATACTAGTAATACTGTACAGTATTGTACCTATTTTTAGAGCACCTTTCTACATGGATTATGATGAAAACATTCTTCTTGTCTTTATGTTTTCTGTCTGCGATATTATCTTCATGGTGTCAACTAGCCAACTACAAATGTTGATCATGTTTCAATGATGTTTACAGTGTTACAAATGTGTTTGTTTAAGTAGTTAGAATGAGCAGGTACAGTAGTCTTATTGTTTATGACATGAAGGCAGCAAATCTGTACAAATTTGGAGTCCTTATTGGAAATAGGTGTTATTTAATATGCAAATTCTTGCTTTCACATCAAATACATGTACTAGATATCTATCAAATTATATAGTCAGAGGTGAGGACTCAATAATAGGTATTAGAACAGTTACTCAAGTTACTTATAATGCAGCTTGGGTTATGTGCATACATGTATATACTGTTTATATGTTTCAATGATCAGGAATTGGAAGCCTTTAGGCATGATATTTCCTAGTGTGTGTAGCCAACTGGTAAAGGAGGTCAGATGCGAATTTGATGCTAGAGAGGAAATGTGATGCTTTTTCAATAGTTATTAGCCAATTGGAGCTGTGCTTTATACCACAAATCACGACTTTCCTCACTCCATGTAGGTGTTATGCAGGTAGGCTTTAGTATGCGATTTGGAGAAACTCGAACGTCGCGTTTCACCATATCGCATGTCGATTTTGGCCACCGGAGAGCGGTAACGCGCAGATCGGCCGTGTGTGCGATTTTGGCCACCTGAGAGCAGCAACGCGCAGATCGCCGAAATGAGGGGCAGGCCATCATGTGTGTGCGAATTTCTCCGCTTGAAGGCGGGAACTCGCAGATCGCCGAGATGCGATCGCACGTACGGGAAATGCTCCGAAATGAGCCTGCCGAAATGTGGTGTGGCCTGATGACGTGAATTTTAAACATCATATATTTACACTGGGGATTTTATAGTTAGACCAAATGCCAACGTTTGATTTAGTCTTAGTATTAGTCAGAAAGTTAACTTGTTGCTTTCTTTCCTCCACTCACAGAGTCTTCAACAGGAACGAGAGGAGTTTTCGTTGAGAAACACTGAATCGCCGATAATATCCACGTAGAGTCGGCAACATATTTACAATGTATTTCAAATATTTCTGAATGATATTGAGGGGTGTACAGTAAAATTACAACGTTGACGAGAGTGTGATGGTGGGGCCATCTAAATGGCGAAGTTATGAATAAGTAGGGTCGCCGAAAAGCATACATATGTGTGTGTGAGTGAGTTGGTCAACATCTCGAAGCAAATATCGGAGCAAAGTATTCTTTACCGGCGGTTATATACCGGGCTATAACTTAGCCCATCTGGGCAAGAATGTGCAATAACGATGATTAAAGTGTAACGCTATATGTTATTGCGTGCTAGAATAAGGTGGCCCTCTAATGCTAACATCTACACGGGGATTTACGACAATCGCCATAACTTCCCTCTCTACCAAAATAACAACATGGCGACGGTGATGTTGTGACGCTATCCCGTCATCCATTGTGGTATCGGCTTGGCGACTTTGCGGTAAGTGTTTTCATAGAAATCAAGGTAGAGAGAAATTATTTGTACATACTGTTCATATGTATTAATATAAAAAGAGGATTCAGTCAAAAACCGCGGCGCAAAATATCGCGGCCGGAGTCCGAGGTTATGTTGCCGGTAAGTTGGGCTACCCTGGCCCGAAGAACCCATTGATAGCACTCAGGGGCTTACCGCAGGCATCAAGGAAGTTCTTCGACCAAGAACAGGTAATTTGCAGCATATATATATGCAACGACAGAAAGCAGGTTGTTTTGTGTATGTCTTCTGATTTTTTTGTAAACATGAAATTCACAAGCTGCGTTCCAGTAAACTTCCGGTTTGTTTTGCTTGTTCAGATTGCCTCGCCAAATTTAGAAGGATCTTAAAGTCTATCCAAATTTATATGTTGAAGAATTTAAATTTCCTTTGATAATTTGTCTAAAAGACGCCGAGCCTGTATGGGGTGACGCACGCATTTCAAAAACAAGGGGTCATTGTCCTCTGAAGGAACGCCCCAGAATGCATTGCGTTTCCTGCCAATCTCACCTCTGCGGCGAGTTGGATTCATTTCATAGAACAAATATGTGTACGTTGCCGGTCAAGCAAATTTGAAAATTATTGTTGCAGAGGAATATTTATTTATTTATTTTTTTATTTATTAATCTTGAGGGTCGCCCCTTCAGTTGATACACAACTGATTTCCAAGGGGGCCCTGGCTCCACATCAACAGATGAATCAACAAAACAAGATGAATATCGATCATGCTACAATAACCTATATATTCATTATCATTTTTACAACAACCCCAACTGATCATAAGATGGATTGAAATATAATATAATCTACAAGAAAGTTCCCCAATGAAAGAAATGCTTGTGTTGGTGTTTGCACGCCTGCGGTGCGACAACTGCTTTTGGAATTAATTGACAGCGATCCCTTCCTTCCGCTGAAGGTCCAACCACTCCATTAGCGTACGGTCAAGCTGGATTCTTCACCCTTCGTCATGCACCAGCCGTTTGATGTTGGCTAGTGCTGATGCGAGTGACTGAGCTACTGTAGTCCGAAGAATTTTGCAACAGGTAGACTATCAATGATTGGCTAGAAGTCACCGTATGTGGACATTTCTATCATATTATTGACTGTCACACCTTGCGAAATATTGCTGTTGTTTTCTTAGGACATCTGGTGGACAACGCCACGCACTTTATTGTTAGGCAAAGGTTGTTATTGTTTGGTGAGGTTAATGTGTTCATATTAAAATTTCCCGCGTCGGCGGAGTGCTTTCCCACCGAACAGGTTACTTGCTCGCATTGTGTTGGTGAGTAGATTGTTTAATTAAGAAGAAAAGGCTTAAACTAACTAGTGTGACACTGTCTGAAAATTATACATAGTAGGCAATGTCAAAGAATTTTCTAACGGAGAACATGAAAATCAAAGACTTTACCGCACAATCATCATTTTCTTTGTCGGTTCATACGCCGACATTTTATAATATTCCAAATGGCTATAAGTTTGTTCTACGAATAAGACAAACTACAGACAAATCATTCTCTGTTTTTTTTTTAGACTTCTATTTAAGCAAAAGGTGCCGATAATTTAGGAAATATTTATCCTCTGTACATAGCTATGTGTAATGCAAACCTTTTCCACGGCGCTGTGTGCCCGATGATCTCCCCTGGCTACTGCGATCACTTACCTTTTGCCGTCTTGACCGAGTCAACCGGTGGGATTCTAGCTGAAAAAATGCTGCACAGACACTTATAAAAAATTACCAAATGTCTTGCAAAAGCTACCAGAAAGATATGTCTATAAGTGTCTGTGGAATATACAGTTATAACCGAAGAACACTTAGTCTACTACATGTATATTGTTTTTTTTTTTACCGACGAGCCGGACAGGCGCTCTGGCCGGTGCTCCGTTCGTGCAAACCAGGTTTAAAAATACACAGAAACAAATATTTTCACAAAGACCAAGTAGGTTACTATATACTTCATGATGCCGTGTTGTATATGTTGTAAAACCAGGGGTCGTCACGCTGATTACAGTGTCACAACCCACTCGGGAGCCTGCACTCAGGTGGGCTCAGCGGCGGGCCGACTTCAGGCGGTTGGCCCTGCTGTTAGTGGCGCCGAAGGTCATGCGCATTCCGGCTGTTGGGTGGAGAGTTTCGCACAGATCGCGATCTGCGCGTTTCCGTCTTCAGGGGGACAAATTCGCACAGAAATGATGGCATGCGCCGCCCATATGGCGATCTGCGCGTTTTCACTTTCAGGTGGACAAAATCGAACACATAGGGCGATCTGCGCGTTTGCGCTCTGAGGTGGCCAAAATCGACATGCGATATGGTGAAACGCGACCTTCGAATTTCTCCAAATCGCATACCTAGGTCTAGCTCTGTTATGGGTTACCTGACTTCAGTTGGGGAGGTAAAAGGTTCACATGGTGGAAGGAGAGGGATGGGATCCGCCTTCCATCACCATGCCCGAGACACAGTGGATTAACAACTCACTCAAAAAGGTTGTGGGACCATTACCTACCGGCTATGACCTATAGTTTACCTATAGACTATAGATAGGAGACCAGTTGTTCTTGAAAGACAGAACTAGCCGTGAACACTATACCCGGTCTCTTATTCTCCAGTTTGCCTTGACTTCAGGCTATGACATCATCATAGAATCTTCTGGAAGAAATATAGTTGGAGCTACAATCAGATGTATTGAGATGTTGAGTAATGAGTAATGTTTAGATGTATGGTCAATTTCTGTCATTCCATTCTTATTGCAATAAAATCAGATGATTATTTGACCACAGTTTTGTTAAGACTAATGAATTGATTTTGATTGATGAAACCTTATTGGCATGGCAACAGTACATAGTTACAGTGAGTACATCATCAAATCATAAGGCAAGTAGTGTATACACGGTATAACTGTCGGCATTAAAACATTCTGGTCACAAAATTGCACTTATTTTTCATTGTAACTGATCACGTGTGCGTAGAATCCTTTAATGCAGACATTGATGACTTTTTCAGATTACTTAACTGTAACATGCTGCATTAATTTGCAATCTCCTACATTTATCCCCTAGAGGTGCTTCAGTGTTAGGCAAGAAAATTGGGTGAATTCTCCCTAAGCTTATACATATAACCAGAATCTAGAATAAATGCAAGGAGAAAGAAATAATTTGTACATTAAGGCCGACAAAATACCTTAGATATATTCCATAATGAGCAAAGGTTAGCATTTTCGTTTTGTTTATCCACTACATAATTGCAATATGACAGGATGATGATGATTAAAACAATTTTACGACAACTCATTGCCCCCCTTGCCCCTCTCCAATTGTCAACCAGAGGATACCCATGTGTGTGGAGCTGTTTACATGTATTTTGTGCTATTCTAGATTCACCGGGGTTCTCTTTGGTCAATCATTGTTTAGATTGGTGAGAAATATGTCGAAGATAATGGTTTTGATAGCTTAAACCTATTTTTTTACATGATGTGATAAAACACGTGTATGGTACCGGTATAAAAGTACCGTCCCTCTCTGGCTTGGGGACTTCTGCTCCATAGAATGGTGGGATTTTCACAAGTAAGTAATAATTAGTACGTAATATGTTTATATAGTATATCCCGAGAATTGGGTAAAACAATAATGCTTATCGAGGTTCTTTTCCCTTACATGCATATTGAAATAAAATCAACAAAATATTATGTAGCAATAATGACGAGGAAAGGAAAGAATGAAATGAATAACTGTTACGGTGAAATGTGCAGCGTATGTACAATATCAAGTATTTGAGAGTCACTTTAAAGTTTTGTACGTAATGATAGCAATCAACATTTTCAACTCTTGACCGTAAGAGGTGGATTTCAACCAATGTTCTGTTAGCAAAAAATAGCAGGATGTGCAAGTAGATTTATGTGGCCTGAACGCTGATCCTAACATAATCCATTT